AGAACTAGAGAAGAATGGTGATATTATCATATGCGATCCAGACAAAGGTGGGTGTATTGCTGTTATGAATCGCCAAGATTATAATGACAAAATCTCAGTGATCCTTTTTGACCAAATGAAATTCGCCAAACCCGATGGTGAAAAGAACACGACACATCTAATTGAAAATCAACTGACTGATGTCTTATAGAACATGAGGAATAAGTCAGTAATCTCGTCAGATATATATGGATGCATTCAACCAGTAGGCGCCATAATACCACAGTTGTGTGGACTACCGAAAATTCACAAGACGGGATTACCCCTCTTTACAATCCTCGATATGCCGAATTCTCCTTGTCATGGAATTGCTCAATAGCTAGCTGAAATACTGGAACCAGTTAGAAGGCAAGTATCTAAGTTTTCCATTGGTGATACGCTTAAATTTATTGAGAATATCAAAGATTTTAATGTCTCAGACAAAGTCATGCTCTCATTAGATGTGACTTCGCTATTTACCACTGTACATCTCATGGAAGTTGTTTGCCATATATGTGATTCTACTGATACACATAGTTTAGAAATAGGGTTGACGACAATCCATCTCAAAGAACTTTTGTTGAGATGCAGGATGAATGTTCAGTTCATCTTCAATAATAAGATTTTTAGACAGAGAGATTGCATTGCCAAGTTAGTCTAAAATTTGGAAAATCCACCAATATCGTTCCCACAAACATGTCTTCTTAATTTCGCCATAGAGATCGAGGTGGATACTTACTATACACATCATTGCAAACCCAACATGTTTAGGTCACAAAATGTGACATGTTTCAAACCATTGCTAATTTAAAATCGAGAGATTGTGTATCGTGTTGACTGATTCGATTCGTCTGCAATCCCTCAAATCAATCTGTGTAATGTGAGGTTCAGTTGACTGGTTTCGTGTTAGCTACTTGGTTATGACTATCCACTAATTTTTGGATGACAGTAGACTGAATTTTGGCCAGTCTAGAAATCCATTTGTATTGCTTTGTTCTCCCCTTCAAATTCCCGCGAAAACCTGTTACAAGACGCGGCATTCTATCAGCAGTATCTTCTATTTTTGATCCACTTGGGATACTGTCGCCACTGTTGCTTCCGGCAAAGCTGATGTTACAGTCACTCTGCAAAACAAAATATGGGATGGGATCAGTCATTGTCCTCACAAAACGAAAAAGTCTGGCAGAGTTGGATAGGCGCCGTGGAGAGAATAGAGGCTTTGAGAATCCCTAGATGTATAGGACCCAGTTTCGACTCTGAAAACTGCACCCAACAGTTACATATACTATTTGATGCGTCAGAAGTAGGGTACGGAGCGGCCGCGTATGTGCGAGTACAATCGAGTCACAACAAAGTATATTGCAATTTACTCTTTGCCAAGGCTAGAGTCGCCTCGCTGAAGGCCGTAACCATTCCACATTTAGAACTAGTAGCGGCAGTGTTGGCAATCAGGCTGTACGAGATCATACGTCGTAATACAACCGTGAAATTTAAAGCCGTATATTTCTGGACGGACTCAATGACAGTATTATATTACATACGTGATACGTCCACTAGGTTCAGAACCTTCGTAGCAAACCGACTAGCCACCATACACCATTACTCAGATCCCAAACAGTGGTACCATGTACCAACCAGAGATAATACAGCCGACCTAGCATCGCTTGGCACGTTAAAACTTGAACAACTACAGCGTTGGTTGGAGGGTCCGAGGTTCCTATCGAAAGAAGAACATCAATGGCCGCATGCAGAGCTATGCTGTATTCCTGAAACAACAGAGTTGAAGAAACAAACAGCTGCAGTACGATGTCTCGTTCGACCAAACTGCATCACCAATCTGTTGAGACGATACTCTAAATGGACGCTCTTAGTGAAGTCTTTTGCATGGATCCTTAGATGGAAAACCTTCCTAGTTGAAAGGTTCAGAAAAACGGGAAAGGAATTAGCCGTAAGAGGATTATTGAAACTATCAGAAATGAGACACGCAACTCTAGAAATCATACGATCTGTTCAGAGTGAGGTCTATTCGAACTTCGATGAAATAGGGACGGACAGGAACTGTAAGGGCGTTGATTCTCTGAGAAAGATGTGTCCGATAGTAAAGGATGGAGTCTTATGTATAGGAGGTCGTCTTTCGTACGCGGACATTTCCATGGCAAATAAGCACCCAGCAATCCTCCCTTCGAAACACATAGTTACCGAAATATTGATTCAGTATTATCATACCACAGAGGGTCACTGTGGAGTGCATAACATTATGGCGTCTTTGCGTCGCTCCTTTTGGATTGTTATAGGTGCCTCCACTGTTAAACGAGTTATTGGACAATGTGTCGAATGTAAGAGGATGTCTACGTTAACTTGTGAGCAGCTCATGGCTCCTCTACCCATGGCGAGAGTGCAAGAAGTATGCTATCCATTCCAGTTCGTTGGAGTAGACTACTTTGGATCATTTTTTGTTAAGTGGGGTCGAGGAAAAGAGAAGCGATATGGCTGCTGATTTACGTGTCTTCAGATTCGTGCTGTACATCTTGAGGTAGCACATTCCTTAACGACTGAGTCATTCATCATGTCGTTATTGTGGTTTATAGCTAGACGTGGGACCCCTACATATATCTGCAGTGATGATGGGACCAACTTTGTCGGCGAAAACAGAGAACTGAAGGATGGATGGAATCAGAAGAAGATTAGTGATACTCTTTTGTCCAAAGAGATACAGTGGCACTTCCAGCCTCCAAATGCGAGTCATAGAGGTGGAGTGTTGGAGCGAATGATTAGATCAGTGAGAGTTATTCTTCAAGCATTATGCAATGAGCAGAATCTAAATGATGAAAATATATTGACGTTTATGGCAGAAGTAGAACGCATATTGAATGATCGGCCACTTGTACCACCAACATCAGATAGTAGAGATAATTTAGCTCTCACGCCAAATCACATACTACTGGTCTGTCGAAACATTAGTATGTTGAATCTATCGCCAATAAACCTGGATATCTATGAAATAACGAAAATATGCTGACAGCTGAATTTCAGATCCCACTAACTCATTCGATGGTAAAATTCTGCTCCTGCATGCCTCTTTCGACATTTTTGTATGGATTGGTTCGCAGTTACTCAGGTTCCAGACCAAAAAGAATCAAAAATTCACCGGTTGCTGAATTATTAATACTTCTCTGCATGTTTAACTGGATCATAACTGCTGTGGTGAGCCTTTTGCAGATTATATTGCTTAAAACATCGTTTACGGTAAACTAACTAACGACCGAATGTAACGCAACACTCAGTTGTTTCGCTCATTTTCAACAAATTCAAACAATAATGGTGCCATATAAACTGTTTTGACTTATGCAGAGTTTACTTACGGTCAATATTCCACTATCTACCCTTGTATATATATCTTGTGTTAGTGAAAAATTTTAAACATGTCTACTCCATGTGTGCATTATTATCATATTAATGATGCCTGTCAACTGGAGTCCCTCATGTGCATAAAGTGGGAATATATTATTGTAAGACGCATTTTATTGTTTTATGAGGGAATTGACTTCAAGCTTTATTTATTTTCCCAAGTATCTGTAATCCATTCAACGCATACTTGGGTTTTTTTGTTAATGCGAAGTCAATATCTCTATATTTCTTGATGTGTTCCATTGAATCACCAGTTATCCTATTTTTCCCACAAACTGAAGATAAAATGACAGCAACCATGTTATTTAACCGTAAATCATGTAATTTAAATATGTCACGTAAATAATACTTATCCATGCCTATACAACTTGTGTGTCCTACATTTGTAGGAATAAATATGTACCATATTATATTATCATTACTAACTAGACTTACTAATCGTATGTGTAATTTATCGAATTGATGATGCCTGTAAACTGGCGTCCCTCATGTACAAAAATGAGAATATACTATTATTATTATACTGTCCAGGTACACAACTCCGGATGGAGGCAGGCTATGCATCTAGCAGCTTCGTTTTGGCGGAGAAGGAAGCGAGAATATCTATCCTTACTTTGAACTAGACAGAAATGGATCACAAAATCTAAAAATCTATCCCCGGGGGATGTGGTGATGATTGCGCCAGAATCTTCGACAAAAGACCGTTGGCCGCTAGGAATTATTGCGGGATGCGAGCAGTCCGCGGACGGACTTGTCAGAACCATCACAATAAAAACGAGAAACGGCGAAGTGAAGCGCGATATACGTAAGATATGCCTACTAGAGGGAAGTCATTTGTAAGAGAGCCGGGCACGAGGGTTATTCTGTGCAACATGATTCATAAAATCCTAGTCGGATTTTGGGGGCCGGCGTAAGGTCAATTCAATTCCCATCCTTGAATCAAGTCAACCTGTCCCGGATCAGCCTAGCATTGTTGCAACCAAATTATCCATGCCTAACGTGTCTATCCCTCCTTGTTTAATGAACTGTGTGTGTTTTTTACATCGATCCGTTTAGTCAGACCGTTGAACTCATGACCCAGTAAGAGTATTTTGTGAACTGTTATTTTTGCTGACCCATGTCTAACTTTGTACTATTCTGTTGAGTTTATCTTATTTATTGATCTTCATCTGTATCAGCCTACCTGGTTAAGTACCCAATTAAATTCTATCTTTGTGCCTATGCTCTGTCTATCTCTTAACCGCTCTCCGTTTTATGCCCTGCCTTACTTGGGTTCATTCTTCTACTGACTGCTTACCTGAACGGTCGTGTCTGATTCCGGCTAGTTCGCAATTTTGACTTTAACATTATTCCGCTCTGATAGCGGTACCTTGCTTTCTGTTAAGCGTTGTGCTTTGTTCTCTTGAAACCGTTAAGTTTTGTTGTATATATAATTATTGATTTGTTTATTAATAGTACCGTAGAAACAGTGACCGGCTTCTTGTTTGTTCTGGACCGGGATAGCCTTTATCTACGCGTGACTTAATTTCAAGCGATATTGCGCTTACAGTTTTTTCCGGCAACACAGGTGTATTTTAGAATATTATTTCACTTCTTTTACTCTTAGCTACTTTCGCAGGAACTTCGCTTTCTTTATTGGCAGCTTTATGCTTGAGCTTCCCGTTTATCAGGGCACGCTGAAGAGCCATATTAAAGTGTTTCTCTCCCAATACGAAAGGATTCATTTTTAACAAGACCTGCTGATTCTTAAGTGGATTCTTCTTAGCCTTCGGAGCTGGACGCTGCAAATGCATACGTCCAGACCTTACAACCGAGGAGATCTCTCGGCAATGTAGAAGCCTGCCAAGGTTCGAGTTGGTCATTTTTGCCATTGGTAAGTGGAAACCATTCTTCTTAACACTTCCTGTCTTCCAAGTGCCATAGATTTTGTCCAACTGTCTAAACGCCCCATCGGTCCAAATGGCCAAACGCCCCATATGACCACCTGGAGCAAGCTTCAACAGATTCAGAGCTCTGACATTAATCAAAGTCACACCTGGAATATTTCTGAATGCACGAGTTATTCTGTCATCTTTTTTGTAAATAACAATCGGAACGCGTTTCTGAATACGACGTCGATTCCTCATTTTGCCCTTTCCAGCTCTGAAGCGCTGGGAGTTGTAAACTTTTTGTATATCAGGCCACGCCCGAACTGCTTTGAGCACCTTTACGGCATCTTTAGTTTTCTTTATCGACTCCACATCGTTGGATACAACAAGAGGAAGCTCGGGAACACGATCACAGCGATGACCGCGAACCATGACCAAAGACGGAACACCCGTAGCTGCACAGTGGTAAGGACTCTCGCCGACCATGCACATGGTCCGGGGTTCGAACCCCTGCCGGCGCACACCCGATATCTATGGTATGCCTGAATTTGGGCAACCGATATCCATGCTGAAAGTTCCACACTTGTACTGAAAATACGGTGTGGAAATCAAGCTGTAAATCAAAAAAAAAAAAAAAAATAGCACTACAAATAGCATAACGTCTTTGGTGCACGTTTATTTTTCTGTGCCACCTTCTCCATGTCTTGGTTGGAGCATACATATGCCCACCTTGACACATGTTTCCATAGGCTCCTTGGCCTGATCGATGGGTACCACCACCACGCACTCTGGGAATACGAGCAACAGCTCTACCAGTACCCCAAGACTCAGCAGAGGTTTGATGACCAGCCTTGGTGCTAACCGCGTAAGGTTGTCTTGAATTTTCGCGCATTTGATCATGAACGAAGTTCAAAAATATCCGTGCGAAGCCAAGCAGAAAACACTGCTGATATTTTAATTGTATCACGCGTAGGTACACCATCAGCTCCGTACACATTAACAACTGGCCTCGCGACAGCCATTTTAGCGTGAACACCAGTGTAAACCAAGCATGACTCCTAGGGTTTAAGATCTTACTCTGATCGCTTCTTACCACCTAATGTATACTTGTAGTTTAATTATTCATTTACACGATTTACCTTGAAAGAAGTGACTATGAGACTAGATTCAGCATATTTTAGTAGCCTAGCACATTGCAAAAGAATTACTGAACAACTGTTTCGTCCTCGTCTGGGGCTCTACAGCGGTACACGCCCAAAACCCCTCCAGAGATAGAACCCGGGATCTTCAGGTTACGAAGCAAGCTCATTGACCATCCAGCTACTGGAACAAAAGCGCTACCTCATCGAACCCAGGTCGCCTGGGGACAGCTGGGAATCCTAACCTATCGCCCAACAAATATGTCGAAGGGAATGCATGTGGATCGGACAGATGCTGAGAAGACCGCTGAAAAACATCGCGCTCCAGCCAAATCCTCGAGTGGAACCTGAGTGGGAAACCACGAGTTGGACGTCTAAGGGTGACGTGGGGGAGATTCTGGGAGAAAATGAAAGTTTATCAGCTACCATGGAGCCACCCAAAGATAACTGTGGAGATTAGGATGAGATTGAGATGTGCTGTTGAAGCCCTATGTTCCACTAGGAATCCAAGGGAATAATATAATAACATATAACACAATAATGCAGAAGCCTAGTATCCTTAATCACTTAACAAATATGATATGTAATGATCCGAATAAAAAGGTAGAAGAGATCCAACTTACCAAATAAGCAGCAGCTAGAAATGGAAAAATCAGATATCCTGGATAGAGATGGATATAACATCCGAAAGCGCATAAAACGAAAGCTGGCAGTAGGTAGCCTAAATTAATTAAGCAGTCAAGTTGAAGAGAGTAACAGCAATCACGACTTATTCATCGTAAAAGTGATAGGGATAAGAAAACGCAACTATTTTAACAAAGCAAATGAAATGAATCTGAATGACTGGTGTGTATGATATGTGTAACACATGCCCCAGCCATCTCCATCGATGCTACTTCACAACCTAATCAGCTGACTTTTCCTCTCTACCCAACCTTCATATAAACGACAATATTACACTGCCTAACGCACATATATTAAAGACAGCTGACCTCTCTGTGTCTTCCTACCTTCAGTTTCTATGTCTCAAAGCCATACAGGAAGTAGAAGCGAAATGTTGCACAGTACACGCTCCTTTGACGTAAAACCGGATATCATGCCTAAAACAAAGATGACGCAAGTTGAGAAGTGTCAAACGAATCCTTTGTGTTTATGATAATACAAACAATTCATTGGACCTGTTGCAAATTCGCTAGCCCATCTTCAAACTGGAAGTCAATGCAGACCAGTCCGCCAACATTTTACATTTGACAGCGGATTAATCTCATACCAAACATACTAGGATGCCTGCTCAGTGTGTTCGGAAAGCTATTTTTTAGCGTCTCCACCAAGTCGAAATATATCATTTGTGTAATGTATACCAAGAAGTTCTCATAAAAGTAATTCAATCCTTGATTCACTGCAGTCGACTCAGGTCATATCCATTAGTTCAATTATAGTGAAATTAAATAAGCATATTGACAGTTAATGTTTCTGACAGACACAACGAGTTTTCATCACTTCGGAAGACAACTCTTTAAAGCCAGCCTGTTACATGATTGCATGCAACCGGGTTCAGAGTTTTAAATATAATAATAATGTATATTTTCATATAAACATAAATTTACATGAAAATGCATGCCATTTTTACAGGCACGATCAAGTATGATATTTCTGGAAATTTCTGGAAACTCCCTTAGAAGCAACATATTGGCGCAGTACCACCCGATCAACAGAGTTAAATCCCGCTGTCACAAAAGCGAAATACGGAAATTGTCGAACACCGGTAAGTTTGCCTGTTTCAGAATATGTTAAAGGATGTACGCTTGATCAATGCACCCTTGTCTATGTCTGAAACCTACCTGGTTTTCATAAGTTTGCTTTCCCCAGACCATATTTAGATTATACAAGTTAATGAAACTCTGGATCTTGAATACTACTTTAGTCAAGCAGATATTCTTGTGATCACGATGGGACGATCTTTTTAGTCATAAACTGGTACTGTAGACGATGGACAACGATTTTCGAATTCTAGTATATTAATTAGTCTAGCAAAGTATTTATCACTTCCATTCTTAAACAAATCTGGAGTCATCCTATCAGATCTTTCTGCCTTAAAACCTTTTGGATTAATGACATATTTGGCAACTTCAACTACAATTGGAGGACCAACATCTACATCTTGTTGAAGCTGCTTTGATGTTTATAACTTGAGTCTTCTGATTAAGTCATAAACTATTCGTTTCTAATTCTTCAAGAAGTCAATCCAGACCAGCTACACTTGTACATTTCACAACAGTAGTTAGTCAGGTGCTAGATGCTTTCTTTTGATATTGGTCTGCTCTGATTAATATTACATGTCGATGTGAAAAATAAACTGGATGAACAGTAGTGGGCAATTTTACTATATACAATGGAATACGCTAGTAAAACATAGTCGTAAGGTTTTATTAATACCTTCTCTAAATACATAGACAGACTGAGTTTTCCGCATAGAACTTTGCATAAAAGTGCGATAGTTTAAGTTGCTACACTTCATATAGCATACGAAGGTAGATTAAGATTTAAAGGAACTGTAATGAACGGAAGTATTCGGGACAAAAATAAGTATATAAAGAAAAATGAGAACGTAGTGGATTTAGTTCATCACGAGTGAATACACACACTTTGTTGGGAACGTTGTTGAGCTATTTCCCCTAAGTCTCAAACCACTGGTTTTTAGTGTCTTGATGACCTCAACCAGGCGGTCGACACCTTCCTACACGGCTCAAACCAATATTTAAAGATTTCATATGTTGATTCCAGGTTTGATTTCAGCACCCTCATCCCATTTTCAACCTAATTTTATGTTAGCTAACATTGCTCGACAAGGAAGGCAATAGCTTGGAATGCGTATTTAAATACATGCCGAAAGCAGTAGTACACATCCAACATAATGAGTGACATGACTACATCATGCACCGCATATTGTAAAACCCTAGACACTGTTAAATTAAAGAAGAGAAATTTAGTGATGCCGATGAGATGCGGAGTTAATAACGTTAATATAACTCAGAAACACGTTAGAAGTTTATGCACTGGGCAATGATTCACACCTAACAAGTGATGGTCAGTCAGACCAGCTGGTGCCTTAAAAAATAAATCAGATTCACAAGAAAGTAAACTTATTCCTACAATGTTAGATAAAATCAGATAAAAGAGGTGAACTACAACTAACCTTTACAGATGGAAATATTGATCCACAGGAATACTATGTTATACACGATACAGGTTGAATTGGAGGCAGATACTAGTATTGAATAAGGATCAAGTGATTACCTGAACAATGCATTACAAAAGACAGTGAGAAACTAGGGTCACTGTACTGAAACATTATGGCTTTTATTCTTATTTAAGTGTAAAATTTATGAAAGTTTATTTTTAGAATGCTGTTATAATCAACGATACCTACACAACCAATACCTTTATTCAATTAATATACCCAGCAAGAACGCACGCTTCCAAAATAAAAGTTTATGACTTACATGTGCTTCAATGCAGACACGCGAACATTGTCATTCCCGCAGTGAATTGTACTTCAACATAAATGCTCGTTATATTTGTGAAATTGATAATGAAAGGCTTTCAAACAAACGAAAATTATCATTTCACACCTAATTCGCATAATCATTAAACTCAGAGCATATTCCTAAATGGCTCCAAAAGCAAATTTAATTCCCAGAACCCATTAATGGTGAAAGCAGGAGAATTAGCTCCTCTATCACGAAACATAATATAGAGACAGGACATAAAATTAATGTTTACACATCTTTTAGGCCTATCTATAAAACGTGTTTGGGGTGTATCCTAAAGTTTGTGGAAGCCCTAGCAATCAGAAAGTTTGAACCGCCTTTATGCTTTCAAGAATAATTCGTTATCACACTAAACCTTTCTTGGTTAGCTTTTTGGATACCATAGCAGATGTACTATTGCCGCTTATTCGGTTTAGTGATCTTCATTCTTATTTTGACCTTCACTATGTCCTTTTAACTTGACCTAAATTTATTTTCTCAGCGCTTAACCCTTTATTAATTTCATATATATTCCTATGACAAGTCCGTGTGTGATCAGATTGCTCGAAATGCGTTGCGCAAATACATTACACGATTCAGACAAATTACGTCTTCTTATTGCTTTGTCTAAATTCACAAGAATATATAAGATCTTATAGTACATATGGACCACAAGTAACAAACCGTTAAACTTCCAGAATATACTAGA